AATAATAATAATAATAATAATATGATGATGATGATGATGATGATGATGATGATGATGATGATGCCGCCGACGACGACGATGATGATGATGATGATGATGATGATGATGATGATGATGATGATGGGTATGGGGAGAGGATGATATAATCCTAAGCATAAGGATAGTAAAATCAATAAGAAGTAAAGCAACCTATCTTATTACTTGATGTGAAAATCCTGTTAACACAGATAACATGATGAAATCAACAGGTGGGGTCCTGGCCTGGAGAGGAAACGGTGAGGGAGTGGGAGACGCCCCCTCCCAAGACCCTAGATATGGATAGCAGAGATTGGGTATAATGTCAGATGGGGTGAGGGGTTCAGCTTGAAGCTGGCCCCTGAAGGGTATAAACAGAACATGATGAATGCATCCTTCCAAATAATGTTTATTTTTTTATACACACATACTCGGAGATTATTCGTGTTAATATTATTTTAAGCAACACATTTTTTACAATGTCCTTATTGCAAATATGCTTAAATAGAAACATAAATATTCATGTTTTTCAATCAATTTAAAATAAATATTACTTTATGTTGACATTATTCTGATAGAAGGGAAATTATACTGAGTTGGTGGTATATAATCTTCATTAGCTAACTTCAGAAGACATCTTTTCAAAATTGTTCAATTGAATCTGAACTCTGTGTAAGTTTATGAAATAAAAGAACAATTTTTTAGAGCAAAATTATAGAGATTAATGCAGGATCTTCCAAATTAAATTTTTTAGGATCTGCCTAACCTTGGTCAACCCTATGCTAAGTTCTAACTTGTAAACATTAAATAATAGTTGTTTCTTAAACTTTCAAGGAAAGTAGATACTATAGGAAAGGTTTTGTGAAGAAAATTTGCTTTCAACATACTATAAAATACGCCTTTACTTGAAGAAAATTGTTACAGAAGCTAAGTAGTTACAGTAGGGAGAGTTTTTTAAAGAAAATTTACATTAAACATACTATCAAATATTAATTTACATGAAGAAAATTGTGACACTTAGATTAACATCTCTTTATTATTGGGAAAATACCACAATGTTTCTGAAATATTTTTCAGATTTTTGTAATGTATTGGAATGGATTTTCCATCTTTATTTGTAATTTTGTAATATCTTTAAAAGTTTCGTAAAGAATATCTTCAAAATGTATGAAAAAATAGTTTAATATTCAATTTGTTTCCAGGAAGTAATGGAGATATGTCTGCTCACACAATCAACCAACTTGCCACATGGATGATTGAACATCCTTGTATTGATTCAGACCTTTCTGAAAGTACTAGTGAAGAATGTGGTCTATCAGCTGGAGCTGATATTTTACTGAGTAGGCCACAGGTAATGTAATGCTCAACATTTTTTGTTCTTAAAAGGTTATTTTTTCTGAATGATTGTTGAGAAAGAGCTCAAACAATTGTATAGAAGGAAGACAAGATTATTTAAAATCTAGTTAATTTGTTTTCTCATTTTGTTATATTACCCATTACATATTCATTCCATCAGCATTAATAGATTCGACTTGCTTTCTTGAGCACATTCAAATTAACGAGTTTCTTTTTCCCATGTTTGGACTATTTTCAAAGCTCATTCCAAAGAAAACTATAACAACAACATTGTAGCATTAGCACAGGTTATGTAAAATATGCAGCAGTTATTATAGTTATTTAATAAAGTCATGTCAATAATTATAGTAAATTATTTATTATAACTGTAAACATAAGTTATTTAAATTCCTATTGTAAACTTGTTCAGCGATTGGTCGAGGCATCACAGTGCTCTCCCGAGTTGGACCTCAGTGTGGTACGTCGTGGACCTGGTCTTGGGCCACGCCGACGTCCGTGTTCAGATATTCGCAATTACTTGGCAGAACGAGAACGTGCTGCCCAAGACAGAGAGCGGCAGCATGTACGAGGTGAAGCTCAACCTTTGTATGGAGCAGCTGCTGCAGTTACTTCTGATTTAGATCTCCAAGCATCAGATGGTGCAGGCACCAGTTCAGGAGTGGTAGGTGTTTGTTTTAGCCTTTTAATGGCAATGTAAACTAGGTATGTTACAATGGTTCAATAAAATGTCCTGCATCTAAGAAATAAAATAAAAAAAATAATAAAACTATAAATTTTAAAAACTAATGGTGGTTAATGTGGCATTGCCAATGGAGTTGAGTGATTATGCAATCATAATAAAAAGTGCCAACTTTGAAATGAAGTGCAACAAGTGTGGTATTATTAATTAAACCATAAATGAAAACCATTTTGAGCTTGCGACAAGTTGTAATGTTGATTAACGAGTGACAAATTTGAAAAGAAAAAGAAAAATCTATTGTTAGAATAAGGAATGGTAGTGCCTGCGGTAGCAAACTGCAAGCAGTTTAACAATAAAAATGAAGGAAACTAGCGAATGGATGTCCAGAAAGAAATGTATTTCAGAACGGAGGGAAAAATTAATCTGTGTATCTTGGAGTTTCCTATGCTTCTGCCAGAACATATTTTGTTGTTGGTAGTTCTCCTCATAATGTGTTAGTCTGATATATAGCCTATCTTTGTTCTTTTAATGACTTTTGAGATGTAGATTGTTCATGTTGCATCATGGGATCTTGTTCTTATTACTTTGATGGATTGTGACCAATATGAAGACCGGCTTAGTGGGCTGAAGGCATCGATGGATGTCACTATGACCAGAAGGTCCTAGAGTTCAAGTCCTAGCAGGACATTTGACACTAGGTAGCACTGTCACTGGAATTCACTCACTGCCTGGAGGAGAATTCTAGTCAGACTCTGTAATCGGTAGTTTTGCATGGTTTCTGCAATCAAGAGCAGGCGAATGTCAGAGGAGTTCCCTAACAAGGAGTACCCAAGGATCGTGAGCAACCTTCCTTATCCTTGACACACACACACTTCGCTACCACACGTTGGGAACTTAGAGCTTGTCCCAACTAGAACAGGTGCTCCGCTGGTGGGGGATACTGCGTACGTTGGTGCCGCATCGCTCCATCCAGCAAGAGAAGATCGTTGCCACCTCCCACAATAAACATGCACGACACGTGCAGGACTAATGACCATGGCAGTTGACATGCCCAGAGTCATAAATATGAAGTGTTACTAAAGTGCGAGTACTCAGAACTCACATTTTTTCAGGCTATCTCTCCATAATAAATGCTCTGATTTGGATGTAGTTAAGAATAAAAATGTGACTGTAATGTGAGGTTTACTTGAAATAAGGATATCATCAAATACAATAATTATGAATAGAGGGTTCTAAAAATTTAAGTTTTTTTTTTTTTTTTTGCAGATTATATTTCCTGAATAAGTGCGGGATCTGAATATAATAAACACCACCAACAACAACAAAAGTCTGTTGAAAAGTTTATATGACATCCTATTGAAGGCATTGATTGCAATAATCAAAACAATTTCACTCAGAACAATCTTGATACAACACAAACCCTTATTGATCCCAGTGAAGCAAATGGGCAGTACTAGTGTAAAATAAATGAAAGATTTTCAATCACCTAACAATGAGAATTTGATTAAAATCGAGATTTTAACATTTTTTAGAATTATTTGTATGAAGAAATATGAATATAATTCTTCAGTTGTATCATAAATGCTTTTTTGCTGATACATTTTACAAATCTCTTTTTGAATTTGAGTGAAAGGAAATAGTGTTGGATTGCTCAAAAATAAAAATGTGAAACCTGAAACCTAAAATGTGAATCTTGTTACTTTTCATTTTGAAAAGTTCCTTGAAACTAGTCTTAACTTTGAATGAATGTTTGTATTTCATACTGTTTACATTTCTTCCAGTTCCCTACTGCTGATCTACATTTGGACTGTAGCCCTCCTCCGTTATGTGGGATATGTCACCAGACATCTTTCCATCTGGCTGGGCATATGCTTTCTGCACATCCAGGTTGTGGTCATCTATGGGGAGCAGGCTACTGTGGAAATATCATAGGTATTAATTATTTTAAAAATACAAGTTTTCACAATTTCATATTTTAACCTGTGTTGATGTTAAAAGGTAGATTGTTTTGTAGCATACCAGTGTTTGGAATGCCCACAATTAGTAGTTTATGGAAAACATATTTAATTTGTCTGCTTTACTTTATTTTCAAATACTGAAGAGGTACCCATATCTTTTTTGAAAAGTAGTTGATTAGGGAATATTATTAAGTGTTTTTTGAAGGTTTGAAATATGCTTTTTGTTGAAGGTACCAACTATTTAATGTGTACCAAGTGCCAGGACAAGTACTCCCTGCAGTTTCAATGCTACCCAAAACAAGGAGAATCTTCATGTATACAGGCAGGACAATCGGGCAGTCATCCTCATGTACCTCCTACAAACCTTGCTCAGACAATAGCTCCTGACCTCATGGCAAATGCTGCAAATTCTGATGAAGGTAACCAAGAAGTCACAGTTTTTCCATAAATGGTTTCACATTGTTTATCACCTTGTTCCTCTCCTCACTTCTTCAGCATTAGGCCTTTGGCCCATTGCTTACTGTTTATCAATCTTGGTTGCTCTGCTGATGTCACAGTCTTCCCACAGTAATTTCTTTTGTTTGGGGCTGTATAATAAGATTTTGTATGGAATTTGTCTCAATCCATACATTTCACTTGACCTCCCCATGTTCTGTGTTGTGTGGCTATTTTTCATTTATTCATTGCTTCGGTATTAAATTGCAATTTTTATGTATTTTATTCCAGTGGAAGTTGATATGTTGGCTGTAGCCGTTGATGATCGTGTAGGGCTTCTCACCGAGAGCTTCTTGAAGCGGCAGGTCTCACCAGAGCCTCTTCCCTTTAAGGAGTGGGATCCACTTGGTGCTAGTAGTGTCCCTAATGTCACAGTGGACACAAATTTCAGTGCTCCTCACCAAAGTGGTAAATTTATACTTACTTAACAATGAGTTTACAATATTTAGAAGGGTCTCGTGAGTTAGAATTTGGGCAATTATTTAAAGTTCAGAGCACTAGAAAATAACCAATAATATTTGCAAATATGTTCCAGGCCTCCATCGATTGGGTGGCAGCAAATCATTAGGGGAACAAGCATCTCTCCTTGTATCTTCACAAGACCGAATCACTGCTTTACACAGGACTACAGCTGCAGCCCAAGTTCTTATTGCTCGTTCAATTGTGATGAGTGTGTTATCGCTTCTCTCTGTGAGGTATTTTTTTCCTCATAAGAATTTTCTTTGCTTTAGAAAGAAAATAGTTTGTACATTTATACATTGTAATTTGTTTTGTAGTGTTTTTTGTAAGGTTTCTGTAAAGTATTTAACTTTAACTATCTGAATGAGTGCCCTAAAGTGTAAATAAACATTTAAAAAGTGGAATTGCTCAGTATTTTCTACTTGGACCTTTGATTCAATAGATGCTTCTTAATTGAAATTTTATCTGTCTCTTGCAGCAGTTCATCATGTAGTCTGGCTGATGGCCTTGCAGCAGTAAGTCTCTCTGATATAAGGAAGGTCGTAAGACTGATGGGATTGACTGCGGGAGGTCGCATAGAGCTTCCTCAAGATTTGCCCGCAGCAGAGGGCATGGCTCCAGGACCTCCTTCGGGTCTCCCATTGGCACAGCTAGCATCCCACCTTCCTCCAACTGCAGCAACCTGTTTGAGCTATCTGAGCCAGGCTATTGCTGCTCTTGCTCAGACTGATACCCAAGCTTCAAAACTTGTAGTACACATGTGCACAAAGGTAACTAGTGGTGCTACAGAATGACATAGTCTTGCTTGTGCTAGTTAGTTTTTTTATCTCTCTTCAGTCCATGCTATCTTTTCAGTTTTGTCCTACCCTCTATTCAACTGACATCTTTTGGTGTGCCTAAAACTCATTTTTTTAAAATGTTCTTCATTTTTTCAGATACTTAATTGTAGAATTTAAATAAAACTTTAATAATATCGTAGAAGGATAAAATCTGGTCCTCTATGTACATTTTCAATGGAAAACATTGATCTGTTTTTAAGAAAATATTGTTTGAGTGTTTCTGAAAATGACCATTTTTGAAGATCATTTTCACTTAAGACAGACAGTTTTTCAAGAAACTTCATAAATTATTTGAAGCAATTTTCATTAAGAAATGTGATGTATAAGGAATGTCCATTAAGTAAATTTTGACTTTTGTTGTCAATGAATTGTTAATTAAATTGTCCATAACGTAAATATTGACAATATTTCAAAAATATTTTTTTTACATTAAAAAAAAAAAGAATATATCAAAATGGCATTTATATCATGTTATTCTGTTGATTTAAGCACTATCTGTAAAATAGTTTAAAGAAAAAAATTGGAGCTGTTTCAGAGAAAACGGTGTTTGGGAAAAAAATTTATACATTTGTAATTTTTGAAAATTCAGTTAGAAATGAAACGGATTTATGCTATCCTTAAAGTGTATTTCCTTCTATTCTTACAAGCAATTTAAAGAAATTAATGGTGCTCAAACAGCATGTATGTTCTTGCCCATACTTTTTCTCCATATTACACGAAAAAGTTCTCAAATTTTCGAAAAATTGGACATAAACTTATATCAAAAATCTTTCTTTAAGGAACAGATTTTATTAAGGGTTAAAAAACTCTATCGTTAATATTTTTGTTGTAGGAAGACTGTAAAACTTTTTAACTTTTGCAAATTTTGAAAAATCAAGGATTTTAATGAACAAGAAACCTGCACCATTTTCTTAAACGTCCTTCACACTATTAAACATCAAAAAAATAATAAAAAATTATGGAGCCATTAAAAAAAAATGGATAGGTCCCAGGGGCTTTATGAATGTGTGCCCCAAAATTAAAATATTGGTTTCTAATTCAAGGAGCTGCAACGTCAGTCAGATTGATTTGGGAATATCAATTTTGATGAAAATCGGCTGAACGGTTTAGCCACTAATGTTGTTCACAGACGGACGGTCAGAAAGAAGTTTTGTCATCATTCGATCTTTCGGTATCAAGAACCCCCAAAACATGGATTATGACTACACCACGTGTTGGAGGGGGGGCTTCTCGTGGCAGTCTGAAAGCCACCAAAGCTCCGGGATCTCGCAAAGGGGTGGATTGGACTGTGTTCTCGAAACGCGGATGTCAACTAATGAGGGTGATGATGTGCGATGACAACTGCGCTCGGCAGCTGACAGCGGGCCCCATTTGCAAGCAGGCAAAACCTCGTTAATGAAGTGACGCTATCTGTGGGTTGGTTGCGCTGGAGGTCGGTCACATGATTCCTCACAAAGGAGGCAAGCAACAGAACTGCAGAATTGATTTGTGAAACCTGTGATAGGAAGATCGTAAGCAGTGGCTTGTGAGGTGTGGCAGTTCGCCACAGGACTAGAGGCCAGGAGCAACGCTAAGATTTAGCACACTGGGGCTGTGTCAGACTGAGACTGGTTGCCTCAGGGATTTGCAGTGTTGGGGAGTGCAGGAGTAGTTTCCAAGGGATTGTAAATATTGTATAGTAATGTAAATAAATCTGTATAAAAATTTCCATGTCTGTGTTTAACTCGCATTACGATGTTACACCGTACTCTTGGCAGCTTGGAAGTGAGAAAATGTTCTAGTAACAATAATCAGTTTTCCAGGAACTTAACAAGGCCCGAAATAATAAAATAGTAAATAAAAAAGAAATATTAGTAGTACTCATTCAGTGTGTACTACTAATATGTTAAATGTTAAATGTCTGGAAAGACTTACAAAAAGATTTTTCATTGCTGACCTTGTCTGTGTTTGTGTTGGAAAATCTTTTTTCCAGCATATTAAATTTTTTCTCCTTTTCCAAAGGTAAGGCAGTATCAAATTTTTGCCATTCCTTTGAAAGGATTGTTTTCAATACTCTGTGCCCTTATTTTGTTGACTATATGAATTCATTTCTTTCATAAAAAAATATAATTTCAATATTGCTCTCAAAGATCCATTCTTTTTAATAACAGTATAAACTTTTAGATCTAAATGCTTCCCACTGCAACTTTGTGTTTGTCTCACAAAATGCTGTTCAAATATTAACTTATTCAATATCTGGGCACATATGTTGTTCAGCGACTCATTGTTATATTAGTATATTTACAATTAAAATACATCCAATTTTTTCCACTAGTCCGGGTGAGAATATTTTGTTGGGTACAATATTAATATTTCATTCTTACTTCTGTTCTGTTTCATTTAGATTTTTAGATACAAATAATAAAAGATGTAAAATCTTTTAATCAATGTGGATCATTTTGTTCAGGAATTGATGGCTGCTGCTATGGGAAATATGAACCAACCAACAGCTAGCTTTGCAGTAACCCAAGCCTTAGTGAGCCTGCTTGCATCTCATGGTGGCACTGCTTTGACTGAATACCCAAGAGGTGAGTTTCTTATTTTTGCTGAGAAGAAAACATGAAAAAAAAAAACAGTTCACAGTTTTTGAAAAAGTTTAAATAAATAAACAAACAAAATAACAATTTTTTTTCTGCTGATATTGCAACTAGTGCACATACTTCTGCAAATTAAATATAAAAATTTAACTTGTTACAAGAATTTTCCACTTGAAACAAATATAAAGTGTTGAAAAATATTTTACACAATATTACAAATATTGTGTAAAATATAAACATATGTTGGAATATATAATTTACCCAACCAGAAAATTGTCTGCCTTCTTTACCTGTCTGTTCTTGTTAATATAGTTAAGTATTTATTTTTAATATTAAAAGTAAATAAACACTAAGGGTTTGTTACTAAAATATCTTTTTTTAGTTACAAAGTAAGAAACTGAATTACAATGTCTTTTTATCATGATGTGAAATGATAAAATATTTCTTTCTTATTTTGTATGTATGTATGTGTGTGTAGGTGTACTCCTTTTCATTCCCAGAAGAGAATCAGAACGTCTATCAAGTATGTAATTTATATACATCCCTTGTAGACAGTTTCTTTTTTTCTCTTTTATTATTTCTCTTGTTAATTTTCATTGCTTAGGGGTAATTCCAAAAAATTATTTCTTGTAAATATTTGGTAATGTATATGGTAACATAGAGCGTGTTGATGTGAGAATGTTACAAATATAAGAAAAGGAACTTCCTCTACATATTCTATACAGAAAGTATCACAATCATGCAAAAATTAATTACTAAACTTCAACAAAAAAAACTCATAATGATTCCTGCTGCTTATGGTCATGTTATTCAAGTTTTTTCCTTTTTTAATGTTCGATTTCTTCCAGATATCTTGTACTTCTTTAAAGCACTACAGTGCTGCAAGCGATTCATATTTTTCAAATGTAGACTTTTTTTATATATATTTCCTTCTTTTTTTTAATATGTCAAATTTCTAATACTTTTTTAAATTAATCACACTAGCTTACCTAAGTGAGAATTCTGTGGAAGTATTTTGTGGAGATGGTCTAAAACTTCCATTCATATGTCAGAAATGTTCTTACCACAAGCCATTGTAAAGAGTTGAGGTCACAAAACCCAGAACTTTACATAATATGTAATGAAATGCACGTTTTAATTGATTTTTCCCAAGAAATTAAATTTCTTTACTAGTTTAATTATGATCCCATTATGCATTTCATTCCCCAAAAGACCATTCCCTTATTTTTGTCACATATCCATATTCTTCTGCTATTGTATTTGAACTTTCTTTGAGCCATTTTCTCTTTCTCTTAGTATTGCTTAGTTGTCTGCATATAATATTATTTTGATTTGATGTTTTCTATTCAGTTGTATTTCTGAATGATTTTTACACTCCATTTTGTGCTCATGTCATAGGCATAGAAATTGAAAAGGAGTGGTGAGTTTGCATCATTTCTTTCGCTTTCTTTCTCTCTCTCCCTCTTTCTCTCTCTTTCTCTTTTTTCTCTCTTCACCCTCTCTAGCCATATGTCATGCAGTGTCAGCTGGTACAAAGAAATCAATTATTATTGACCAACATGAAATTTTGTCAGTCTTAAAGTCTAATTCCTTCATGACGACAATCTCTTAGTTGCAGATTAAAACTGTCCTAACCAAAAATTGTTTTTTATTTTATTGTTTTTTTCCTCAGAAGAAAAGCAGTTAGTAAGTCCTACAGAGAGCCCAAACAGTCCCCTGCAGCTAGCAGATGCTCTTGCTGCTTGTGTTCTCTCCCCACGTTTAGCAGCTGAGCATCGTCAATGGGCATCACAACAATTGGTATGCACTCTTTTAAAAATTTATTGGTATTTTATTGCTAACCTAGAGGTTCACATCATATTAGACGTATAAATTAGATATATCATACAATCGTGCATCCAGTCTTGACGTGAAGATTCTACCTACCTATTAATTTATGCACGTACTCCAAAGGCCCAAATTTTACTGCTGGACAAGGCACATGAATGAGTGCCTTTTACTCCCAGAATATACTCTCCTGCTTGCAAACTGTGAAAAATATTTGTCACCATGACCTTTGGTTAAAATTAATTATAATTTATTTCTTTATATATGAAAATATTATTTGACCACTTACAGGTAAAATGTATAGCTGCGAAAGCAACTGTTCTACCAGCTTCATCAGTAGAAAACTTAAATTTTGCTGATCTGTCAGGAGTAATGCCACCTTGTCCTACTACAGAACTTGAAGGTCATGGAAATCGTGTCAGTTACACATGTTGGTCAGAATCTTTGAATCTTCTAGCAACATGGTGAGTTATATTGTTCCTTAAACTTTATTTCACCCACTTAACTTTTATTCCAACAAACAGCAAATTATGTTGTTTTTTAATTTATTAAATTATTTTATATTATTTCTGTACATTAAACATACAGAAAATTCATCTGTAAAACATTTACTATCAGTCACTATTTTAAAATTTCTCTGCTTATATGCTATTTCTTCTTTTATTAAAGTGGTAGTGATGGGACTGTTCGCATTTGGAGTACTGCTGATCATAGTCAGACATTTTTGGAACACACAGTGGTTTTTCATAAAGCTGATGGAGCGTATGGCAGTGAATTGGATGGAGAAATAATAAGTCACCTTGGATGGTCTCCCTCTGGACGATTCATTGCTGCAGCAATGCAAGACACTGTCAATATTTGGCACCTTCCAGGTAAACACATCTCTTTGAAGTTCATAATACTGTCAATACTGTAGATTGTTTTATAAGCATTATATGCTGTATAAGAAAAGAAAAAATATTGAGCTTGCTGAATTTTCTTCAGATTAATCCACATGACGTGACCAAATGGATTATACATAATTATTCATAATTTTGTAATTATAATAAATCATATATCATAATTGAATGTTCATAACTATTCTAATTTAATTATCATATATCTTATGAACAATATTCAGTGGTGAGTCATGGCATTTTTGAATAGTCATTGCTAAATTTGCCCAATGGCCATACATCACTTATAATAAATATACCTAAATCAAAACGGTATATAATATGATGGTATATAATGATTTGAATATGATTATATATATTGGTAATTATTTTCATATTAATTATAGAAATTAAATTATGTGTGTGCATGTGAATGTACTGTTTAACTGGAAGACAAACTACTGTACCCTTCAACAAGTTTATTGGGAATGAGCTGATGGAGGCAACGGAGACACGGTAGTGGGAAGTGATTCCAGCACTTCACAACTCTGTTGCTCAGGAAGTTTCTTGTTTGTGCTAAATTAAAGTTAGTTATTGGGAGTTTCATAGGATGCTATCTGAGTTATTGTCTATGTTGTGCCGTCTTACATATCTTGAGCATTTAAAAAAATTATGAATATCTATACTGTAATGGTTGTTTAGAGTTTTATAGTTCTTGTTCATGTTGACATACTCTCCTTGCTCAGTAGCAGGATATCAAGCTTATAGAGCAATTGTATTTTGAACATAATCTGGTCATAGTCTTCTGGAACCATTCTAGCTTTTCTCTCAGCTTTTTCAAATACACTGATTTATATTATGGGTTCCACAGGGAGATGCCAAATTTGACATGTGGAAAAACATATATAATGAATATTGGCCAAAAGTTTCGCTTTTCAACATTGAGAAAACCTTCCACAGAACAAACATTGCTTTGTTAACTTTCTTGGCTAAATGGGGTATGTGGATTTAGATCATCTGTAGTTAAAATACCCAGGTTATGGGTTCTTTTAGTTGCTGCCAATACTTCACTGCCAACGTAATCAGGCATCTTCAGATCGTTGCATTCAATGTGCATAAGAGAGTATTTAGCTTCATTTGAAGTTATCAGCCATCGAAGAATATTTTTTGTATCCAATTCTACCATAGAAGCATCTAGGATCGTCAAGAAAGGCCTGGGTTCAGGACAGAAGTTTTTCTTTATTTCCAAAATGTTCAAGTTTGTAAAGTAACCTGCCTGTAGGAACTGTATCAAATACCTATAGTATTGAAATTATGATTAACTATTGGAGTGACTGTGTTCAAGGCCTTGGTCCAGACCAGTTTAGGGGGCTTATGGCATCAGCTGATATCACTGCAGTGCCCTTGATCAGGAGGTCCTAGGGTTTGTGTCCTCATGATAGTAGGATTTTCAACACTAACTAACTCGATGAAATTCAGCTGCTTCTTAGAGGAGAATTCTAGGAGCCGGCTGCTCTGATTGATAGTTTTTCTTGGTTTCTCCGATCAACTAGTGAATGTCGGAGCAATATCCTAACAAGCATCAATCCTAACCTCACCCCTTGCTTACACACTTTCACATATACATGACTACACATATCAGGGAATCTGGTCAGGAGCTTTGAGCTTATCTCAGGTGAGTCAGTCCTGGTGGGGGAGAGACCTGGATTGTATCTAAGATTCACTTAAAATGGAAAGTTCTGAAATATTTACTTTGTATTTTGGTGAAAACTATGCAGAGTTCTATGGCAGACACCCATTCTAAAGGTGGTGTCAACTTAAATGCATGACTTTATGTAATTGGTGTACAATGTGTAAGTGAATACCTGCCATAATTGAGCATGCATTGAACAGAACTTACATGTTATAATTTATCTGCTAAAATTGTAATTTATCCCACTATTCCATTATACCCATTCCATTTTACACACTTTGTGGTGAAATATTCTGTAGTAATTTTGTGATGTAATTTGTTTGTAGAAAATTCAAGTTCTTCTCTGGGCAGTGAGAAGCTGCACATAACAACTTTATCAGGATGGGTCACATGCTGCACGTGGCCACAACAACGGCCCCAACTTGACTTGTCTTCTCCTGAAAATTTGCTAGTTGGAACTATAAATGGCTTAGTAGTCCTTCTGACAGTTTCTCCTACTGGATTGCAGCGAGAAGATCTTCCTCAACACCAAAGAGATTGTGGTAAATCTATAAATATGACTCTAGGAAATTAAGTATTGGAAGTGATGTTTTTGTGTTTAATTATGAAATCATTGCATTTCAGCTCCAATCACTCACATGGAATGGTTTGATGAAGAGAAAGAATTTGCTATTGCATATAATGATGGTGTAATACATTTGGGTCGCAAGAATGCTAATTATCAATTACATTCCTTTGTTGCTCATCAGGTACAGTTTATTATTTCCAGGAGATGACAATTACTTAATTTCAAATAATTACATTAAATGTCTTTGTGTTATTGTTAGGGAACATTGGCAAGCATGAAATGGGATCCAACGGGTCGTATTTTAGCTACTTGCGGTGCAGATGGAGTGTGTCGTCTTTGGCATCAAACAGAAACATCTTGGCGATGTCTTCACACGCTAATGCCGTCACATGAACCAGTATCACTGCAATGGTCTCCATATGTGGGTAAGTAATTCCAATTATCTGTCTTTTACAACGGTTAAAAATGCATTAATTCTTGTTGTTTATTTTATGTTTTTTATCATTTAAGCAAATTTAATTCCTACAAAGAAATACTGCTTGATATCATCCAAACTTAACCTCAAATTTTTTTAATATTATTTGGCCTTGGGCCCTGTTATATTATTCTCTTTGAAATATTTTGTTGATAATGATTCAAAATTGCTTAAAAGAGAGCAGAATCGAAGTATCGTACCGGCTGTGATTGAATTATGAATAAATGTATCAGATTCAGTACATGGCAGATTTATTTAGTCAAAAAAAAAACAAAACAACAACAAACAATAAAAACTGTATGTGACGTATGGGGAGAAGATAATCTGCGCAAGTATTCTTGAGTTCCAGAATCTCTTCCCATCATTTTAATTATAAATAGTTGAAAGATGAGTAAAAGTTGATGAAAGAAGATGAGTATAAATAAATAAAAATAAATTTTTAAAAAGTGCAATATTAGCAATATTTGAAAAAAATAGACATTTTTGACCTGAGTTATAGATAAATTATTTGCATTGGTAAACTAATTTGCAAGTATGATTATTCTGCATTGCTAACAAAATAGTAACTCACCCGTACCTCTACTCCTGCCATTACAAGCAAAAGTAGAGTTGAACAAAATGTGCGCATAGTGAAGCTACATTTACGTCCAGAAGGGAAACAAGGGGCTATCTCAGCATTTGCTCAATAGATCAAGGAAACAGGGCAAAAACCTGATCAAGATGGGGGTCATTGACCCGGAATAATCATAGTAATTCTTTAGTGTACACTTACTCTAATTTTGTGATGAAGACTGGAACATTATCCAGGGAGAGGTAGTGTCTTATAAACATAACAGGTGAAATGAGAGGACAAGAACCTCAAAGAAGTTTCTAACATCATGAAATAATGGAAATTTTGTTTATTTACCAAAGTAGGCCTATGTCTTTAATGATATTTCCAAGTATTTAATTATTTAAGTTAACAGATACAAATTTAGAAGATTTGCTCTAAATGAGTATTTGTTCATGCTTTTGCTTATGATTTTTTGGGCTAATTACATTCACAGGATTATTCCAACTAAAGTGGAACAAATTTTGTGTGTTTTGTTCTCTTTCTTGTCTCATTAACTTCCACTTTTTGTTCAATTTGGACAACTGCTGGTTATTTTTTATACCCACTCTCAGCTAATTCGTAATGTGGAGAAAGAGGGAAATCCTCAGAATCATCTTGTTCATTCTCACTTGAAAAAGCACATCAATGTGTTTATCCTTCTGAAAGTTTATCATGCTTTCTTTATTTGTGTTTTTATTACCAAAAAATGAGGTTAATTGCCATCACTCCAGGTGTTCCACCATGCACTCTGTCAGCCCGGATCTCCTTGTCTTTGTGTGACTAATGAAACAGTAGGGAGGAGCTTTCCTAGGGTCACATGAGAGATAAAAAAATTTCTAAAAATTGACAGATAGCCTGGAATCATTTATTTATTTATTTATTTATTTATTTATTTATTTATTTATTCGTTCACTTACGCCAATTGGCTTTATACATTTAAATTTTCACATTATAATGTATTATAAGCACATAAACAGAAGTATACAATTGATATATATATCATAAACATTGCATCACAAAATTTGGTTGAGACAATAATAAGTAAAAATTAAATAAATTATTTTATGCTACGTTTGAAAGTAGATATAGATGTATCAAAGAAATGAACTTTTGGTGCTATCTGATTGACAATGTTAGCTATTCTATTGTGCTGCCCAAAGATGACACAATTCTTGTTGGAATTATTCACATTCACAAGTCTTCTTATACGCAAATTAAGCGTGGTGCATACAAGGCAAAATTGCTCTAATATTTCTGTAGTCGATAAAGTCATTAAATACTTTGTAGAAGAAAATAAGGTCTATCATTTGTCTCAGAGTTTGAAGGCTATCAATCTTAAGTAGGTCATAAACATCATCAGTGTTTCTCACATTTTCATCTTGACAGTAATACTTTAAGGATTTGCAGAACTTTCGTTGAACTCTCTCAATTTGTGTAATATGTTGGACAGTGTATGGTGACCAAACTATGCTTCCGTATTTCCAGTATTGGTACCACTAACGCAGAGAATAAACGAGACAGTGTGTTTATGCTTCTAAATTCTTTTCTTGATCTGAGTATGAATCCGAAGATTTTGTATGCTTTCTTAGAAATGTTGTCCACATGGTCAGCAAAAGTAAGTTTCTCATCAATAATTATGCCCAAATCTTTAATTGAATTAACAATTTGTACATTTCTTCCATCTATCTGATAGTTGACATTGTTTTGACCATAAGCATGAGAGAAGATCATTACAGCACATTTCCCAATGTTCGAGAATAACTTGTTATCCATACTCCATTTCTCGAGTACAGAGATGTCGTGTTTTAGAATCTAGCTCACAATAGTTCTGTAGATCTTCATATCATCAGCATATAACAAGAATTCTAATTGCAACCCTTCACCAATATCATTTATAAACATACTGAATAATATTGGTCTGACATGAGTACCCTGTGGTATACCGGACAAAACATCATATTCATGTGATAAATGATCATTAACTTTCACGCGTAATCTCCTACCTGTCAGATATGAACGCAAGTGGGCTGTTAGTTGAACACCATAACTGCTCAATTTTGACATTAATATTTCGTGGTCAACTTTATCAAAGGCTTTACTGAAATCAGTGTATAAAGAGTGCACGTTTTGACCTTTGTCTAAGGCGTTTAAGATATAATTGATGTATATGAAGAGATTAGCGTTTGAAGAGCAATGAAATTTATTGATAAAGGATAAAGTAAAAAGTACAGAAAATTGTAAGTGTAAAAAATGTGGAAACAAAACTACATTTAATAATTTAGTCTGGAGTCTAAATCCTCCCACACAACTTCTCCAGGATTAAAAATCATCAAAAAAATAATTCAGAAAAGATTTGTCTTTGTCTTGCTTGATGGCTTGAATCTTTATCATCTTTATTATATTGTTGGACTGATGTTTATTTCATCAGGCGATGTAGGTCGGACCAGACCAGATCATGTAATCTTCTTTGTAATATGTACAGTTTGTCTCAAGTTATTTTCTAGTATATTTTAGCTTCTCCAGTATTTTCCAGCATCTTTTATGTTTTTGTCATTCTGTCCACTTAATTTTTGTTAAATGACCAAATAATCTTATTTACAAGTGCAATCTTTTGTGTACATATTGTAGGCAAAAGTTCTCAACCTTTGCTGCTATGTGCTGGCACAATGCAAGGAAGTGTAAATGTGTGGACTGTGCCAGATGGATTGGAAGAACAGCAAACTACAGCTGGACCTCACCTTGTAATGACCCTTCAAGGCCACTTGTACCACCCAGTTACCACATTAGCTATTCATCAAGAGGGTCTTTTATTGGCCACAGGTAACCACGCTAGCTTTTCATCGATAAGGGCTTTCCAGGTCTAAGGTTTCACTCAAAGATAAGGCATTATGCTAAAAATCATAGTGAATTGTGTGCTTTTGGGACATATAATGAGCCAACATAAAATTAAAAATTTGCTTCAGGAGTTTTCTAGTTTGACGAGTTGCTATGAAAAGCCATTGGTAGTTCAGATATGTTCTTCTCTTATGGATTGAAAATGAACAGATATTAAACCCTTTTAAAATAAAGTTCAGCTTACCATTCAATGTGTATATTATCTTTGAATAAATTTAATAACACAAATAATGTTATATTCGCAAATTAATAATAGTTATTAATGTCATTAGTCTGATATAGAGCATATAACAGGCACAGTTCAATTTTGTAAACACGAGGCAGTAGTGTTATAATTAAACAAGTTCATTATTTGTGATATTTGCCACATGTGGTTCAATACTTTTTGGATTACCAACATCTTGTAAGAAGACGTAATATAAAAAGAAGTGTCTTTTCAGACTAGGAGAACTTGTATATCATCTTTTCCTTCAACTATCTTTTTTTGTTATTCTTAACGGACCATGTTGGTTAAAATTCTTATTGATGAAGCATTTCAGAGCTGCTGATTGTTGTTGAAGTTTGCATGACAAAATCTTAAAAGGAGATTTGTTTCATGTTAATTTGTTTGAATTTTAGGGTGTCATAAAGGACCCAGTGGTGTTGTCAACATCTGGTCATTGCAAGATGGCAGTCTGCTTCAGACTCAGACTGGAACTGGAGGAGTTCACAGTTTATCATGGATGAGATGTGTAGGCCTTGCCGTTTGCTTCAGTCGTTGCAAGGTAGATGAATTTTTGTAATTTCATTTTGCTCTATTTCCCTTATTAAATTTTCTATTTATTTTATATCGACAAAAAAGCCAATAAGCCCAATAATTATGTAATTAGTAAATATTAGTAAAATTGTCATTGTATAGTAGTCATTAGTAAAATTGACTTCAAACAATTATCAAAATGTAATTTTTAAGATATTTTATAGTTGCAGTGGTCAATGGTGATCAGTTAATGCCAGTCTTGTAATGGCGAGTAAAAACCATAAGTAATTCTCTGATTTGTGATTGAAAATTGATAAACTAATCACAATGAATATTCTGATGAGTTGCATACAAATATATTGTTAATGATTTTATACAAGCTACAAGTGTCATTAAAGGTTCCTTAAGATGCCAAAGTCTGAGAAAGTCTCAGAAAATGTTGCAGCATTCCTGTAGTTATTCATTTGGATAGGGTTTACTAAATTATGTAACATCATAACGTGCGCGCCGGACCTCACAAGTTGGGGGACCGGCGAGGAGGAGGGTTTGGCCATCTGGCTGCAGCTCCTAGGGCTGCTGCATGCTGTCAGAACGTGGGTGTCAGAGCAGGGGGATGATATGTGACGACAGTCGCATCCGACAGCGGCGGCGGGCCCCAATTAGCAACAGGCCCAAAATTCGTTAATGAGGTGACGCGGCCCACGGGTCGACTTCGTGGCGGATGGTCACGTGATTCCTCAAAAAAGCGGCTAGCGAAGGACCGGCATTCGAGTTTGAACCGAATCACAGTGCGGGAGGCACTTGTCACCCGCCAGGGGTTATCGGTAGCTTCGGCTGCGAGGGGTGGCTGTCCGCCACGGGACGGGAGGCCAGGAGCGGCGCTAAGGTTAGCCGCTGGGGTCAGTCAGGCTGAGGCGGTGATGCTTCAGGGAAGGGCAGCGCTACTTCCTCAAGAATGTAATAATTGTATAGAAATAGTGTAAATAAATCGGTACATAACTCCGTGTTTCACTCGCACCCTGATGACTTCACTATTTATTTTAAAATGCTATATAACTAAAAGCTATGTTTACATATAATCTATATATTCTCTTCTGTAAAAGCTTATGATTTTGCATTTTTTCATTTAGATACATTTCATTTGTTGTACAAAGTTTGACTTGTACATCCTCTTTACTGTAATTACTATTTTCAGTTGCTTGAAGATGTCCAGTCATCCATAAGTAGCAGAAAGGAACCACTAAAAAAAGCCTCATTGATGTCATTGTAGAGGAAATACTTGTCATTAAGGAAAATTACGAACAAGAGCAGTCTAAACTGGTAGCCTTGACGAATTCTGAATGTTACTAAAATGTTTTTTAATTTAAAATGTTTATTTTTATTAATTGTCTTTCATTGAATATGTGTGAAACAAGTTGATTAATAGAGGATATGATGAATTGTTATTTGAAAGTTTATGAATTAGCAAGAGAATGGAGATTTTGTCAAAGTCCTCAAAAAAGTCAGTATGTTGTCATGAATTTGGCATCCCTTTTCTAAAATTTCAATAATGAATTGAGTATGTTTAATTAGTCCATTTCCATAGACTTACAAGGCACAAATCCATGCTGTTTCATAGTAATTTTTGCATAATGAAATAAACTGTTCATCCATCTATCCGTGAACAACACAAGTACTTAAACTATTCAGACTTCATTATCAATATCATCATCATCATCATCATCATCATCATCATCAACTCCATCGGTTTAGGAGTGGTGCTGCTGTCCTGTTAGTGGGTAGTAAAGCAGTATTCAGTCTGTAATTACGGCCATTCGGTTTGTAATGAAACGTTTCTCTGTGGTGAATTAAAACACACTCAATATTTAACAATTACGTTTATTCGTAACCAATCATACACTAAAACTACTTGATCTATATACAGGTATATTACACAGTCCTTGTGTTCTTCACTTAATTATTTTTCTTACACACGACTCCGTTCTCTTGATTGTTTATTCACACAGTTCACTTCTGATTATTTATTTACACTGATCACTTCTTCTACAATATCACACAGTCAGCAGAGCCTACGCAGAGCACACTTTACTGCGCATCCAGGGTCCACTACACTGCCGTTTACTGCGATGCACACTTCACAGCTCAGTTTCCACTGCAGATTGCTGTTCACCCACTGCACCACTGTTCACCGCAATGCACCCTTCACAGCATAGCTTCCACTTGACACACTGAGTGCTTATTCACTGACTACATACACTAACTGATCCGCGGTTGCTTACTTCTGACTACTACTTACACTGGCTTACACTGACATACACACACCGACTTATACTAACTTACACTGACTGACTACTTACTGACTTGCCTTGACTGTTATTGACTCGCGGCCGCCGGCAGCTGCACATTTATACATGGCTAGCGCTCGTCTCGACACACCCGGCACTTTCTCCGCGACTCGCGAATAGTCCGGAACCGTCCAGTTCGGGGGGAAGGGAAGGCGCGCGCAGCGAATTCCGGCAGGTGATGCAATGTTCGTTACAGTAATTTAATGCCATCCATGGTAGACGTTTGTCCATTCTTTGCACGTGTTTTTTTTCCATTTCTTTTGGTAATTTTTGACTTTTTCTGCTAAGTATCCTGTTTTCAGTTTTATCGTAATTGTTTCATTGCAACTTTTGTCTCTTGTTACTCCTAACACTGCTCTTAGAAAATTCATCTGAGCTACTTCTATGCTTCTGGTTTCTTTCATGCCCATTATCTGCATTGTTGAACCATACATTAGTATTGGTTTTGATGTTATATTATGAATTCTCATCATTGTTTCTTTTCTTATATGTCCAAAATGTTTCTTTATTATTCCATTGTTTCTGTTATATTTTTGTATATTTTCTTCGTTATCCTTTTGGTTCAATCCAATTGTATTTTTGTGTTATTTAAAACTGGTAACTTGTTCAATTATTGCATTTATTATGACTATTTTGGCTATAAGATGTTCTGAGTCTGTTATTATAGTAGTCATTAATTTCTGTGAATAATAGTCATTAATTTCTGGTTGTTTGGTATCTTTATTCCTGCTTTAGATTTCTGTTTGCATGCTGGTCTTAGACCTTTGTTGATCTTCATAGACTTGTTTTCATACTTGACTTATTAATAGACTTGTTTCCAAAAATATTCCATGATTGATCTGGCCTGACTCGAAGTTCTGCCATTTTGAAAAACCTACTTTAAATTCTGTGGGTACTGTAGACGAAGTTTGGTTAGTTGAAACCTGGAACAGTTTCAAAATTTTCTCAAAAATGGCTCCAAATTTTTCCTTTAAATTTCATGTAAGAATAGAGTGAAATACACTAATAAAGATGGTGTAGGCCCAATTTTCACTGTTAACTCTGAAATTTTGGAAATTACAAATTTGTTGGTATCTTTCTACAACAACAACAACAATATTGAAGAAGAGTTTTTCTAAGTTCTAATTAAATTAGTTTGCCATAATTCGTCCTTTCATTAACATTGTGTACTTTTCTTTTTTTAATTTAGTAGTTTCAAGCAATTTTGTGTAAAGTACAGGCAACTCAAAAGTTTTTTGTGAATTGAACTTGAAATTCATTTTCACTAACACTCAAATGCTACTTTTTCTCGAAAACATCTCCAATTTTTTTTTCTTTCTAAATGGACTAAATAAGATGACATAAATGCCCCTTTGACATGTTTTTTTTTTTAAAGTATGCATTTTTGTTCTTCAGTTCACACCACTTTTGTTTCATTCCATATCTGTCTGTTCATTAACAATGTCATCAAAGCTAACATTTTGGAAATCATATGCACAAAGAAAATATTCAGGATTTGTGATACTGCTTATTTTCAATGGGTTATTTCATGTTAATGGTGGATGGTAATTGATATGAACTGAAATTAGTGGTTCCAGTGAAGTAGTTCAGTAATGGGAGAAAATATAAGATCATATGATTAAATTGCAGAATTTTGTGATTATTGAGATAATTCTTTAAAATTGTAGAAGAAAATTGTTTAAAAAGGTTTATTTTGGAAACTGTTCATCTTATCTCAATAAAAGAATTTTTGTCTCTCTGACTTTCTGACTAAATTGAGAGATTTTTTGCACTCTTTTTATTAAAGAATTAATAAGAACTTTTCATTGCTCTTTTTTCTTCTTTAGGATGTGCGAATTGTGCATTACACAGTGCAGAAACTTGCCTTAGAGAGGGTTCTTGCTGCGAGCCGTGGAGCATTGCTTCGACAAGGAGTTTCCGGACTGCAGGCTGCCCCATGTTTGCGTGCCTTGCTTTTATCTTTTCCTGCATTGTTACGTGAACAGTATCAGTATGAAAAGCCTTTAGTGGTGAGTGGTGAGCAACTCCTCCACAGTGACCACCTCAAATGCCTTGCAGCATTGGCTCTGGCCCTACAGTTAGATCATGTGCTCTGTCTGCAGTTATCACCACCCAATTGCACCCAATATGGTACTGTTGGTAAGTCAATAAAATTAATGGTCTAATGTTTCACTCTGCATGTGAAAAATTAAAAAGGATTTGAAATGTTAATTTAGAAATTCATAGAAGTTTTTAGTCTCTTATAAGTGAGGATCTATTAAATTTCAAACTATTCTTGTAACGTTGTGCATGTGTAAGAGTTGAATTTCCAAATTTAGATTAAAGTTAAGCATTCCTTAAAGTAGGATGATGACCAGGAAAAGAAAACAAAGAATTTTCTATATTAATTAATAATTTAATATGTAATATTAATTGTTTCAGCTCCAGAATGGCAATGGTTGCATGTGTTTGGCGTTGGAGTGCGAACTGCAGAAGCTTTAGTCAATCGTACACCATTGCCTGAAGAGTTTTGTTCTTATGCCTGCAGTTTGACAGGTATTGTCTTCATGTCAGATTGCATATGCATGTTATTAACTACAGTTTATTATTTGCTTTCTTTTATTATTTAGATGGTGTAT